CCAATGTTTGAGACCACCCTGGGCAACATAACAAGACCCCCCCCCATCTCTATAAACATTTCTTTTACAAAAAATTAGATGGGCATGGTGGCACATGCCTGTAAGTCCCAGTTACTCAGGAGACTGAGATTGGAGGACGCCTTAAGCCCAGGAGATAGAGGTTATAGAGAGATAAGATCAGGCCACTGCACTCCAGCCTGTGTGACATGAGACCTTGTCTTAAAAAAAAAAAAAAAAAAAGGAAAGGCTTCAAATAAACAACCTAATGATGTACCTCAAAGAACTAGAAAAGCAAGAACAAACTAAACCCAAAATTAATAGAAGGAAAGAAATATTAATAATAAAGATCAGAGTAGGAATAAATGAAATTTAGACTAAAAAAATATAGATCCATGAAACAAAAAGCTGGTTTTTTTAAAAGATAAGCAAAATCTAAGGAAAAAAGAAAGAAAACCTAAAATCAGAAATGAAAAGGAGACATAACAACTGAGACTACAGAAAAAATACAAAGAATCATTAGAGACTATTATGGTGAATACTATATACCACCAAATTGGAAAACCAAGAAGAAATGGATAAATTCCTGGACCCAGATAGCCTACCAGGATTGAATCACGAAGAAACAGAAAACCCCAACAAACCAATAACAAGTAATGAGAGCAAAGCTGTGACAACTAAAGTCTTTCATCAAAGAAAAGTCCAGGACCTGATGACTTTATTGCTGAATTCTACCAAATATTTAAAGAAGAACTAACACCAAATTTACTTAAAATGTTCAAAAACATTGATGAAATTAAAAAGGAAGGAATACTTCCAAACTCATTCTATGAGGCCAGCATTACCCTAATACCAAAATCAGACACAAGGACACAACAAAAAAAGAAAACTACAGGAAAATATCACTGAGGAACATAGGTGCAAAAGCCCTCAACAAAATACCAACAAACCGAATTCAACAACACATTGTATAGATTATTCACCACAATCAAGTGAGATTCATCCCAGGGATCCAAAAATAGTTCAACATATGCAAATCAATAAATATGATACATTACATTAATGGAGCCAAGAACAAAAACCATATTATTAACAGATGTCAAAAAAGCAGTCAACAAAATTCAACATCCTTTCACAATAATAACCCTCAACAAACTGGGTATAAAAAGAACACACCTCAAAATAATAAAGGCCACATATGACAAACCCACAGTGAACATCATTGTGAACAGGGCACAATTGACACCCTTTCCTTTAAGAGCTGGAGCAAGACAAGAATGCCCACTTTCACCACTTTTATTCAACATAATACTGGAAATCCTGCCCAGAGAAGTTAGGCAAGAGAGAGAGAAAAAAAAAGGAATCCAAATTTAAAAAGGAAAAAGCCAAATTAAGCCTTGTTCACAGATGATATGATCTTAAATTTAGAAAACCTAAAGACTCCACCAAAAAAATGTTAGAACTGATAAAGGAATTCAGTAAAGTTGCAGGATACAAAATCAACATACAAAAATCAGTAGCATTTATAGATGCCAACAGAGAATAATCTGAAAAAGAAATCAAGAAAGCAGTCCCGGCAGTCCCAGTGGCTCACGCCTGTAATCCTAGCACTCTGGGAGGCCGAGGTGGGCGGATTGCTTGAGGTCAGGAGTTCGAAACCAGCCTGAGCAAGAGCGAGACATTGGCCAACTAATATATATAGAAAAAATTAGCCGGGCATGGTGGCGCATGCCTGTAGTCCCAGTTACTCAGGAGGCTGAGGCAGGAGGATCACTTGAGCCCAGGAGTTTGAGGTTGCTGTAAGCTAGGCTGACGCCACGGCACTCACTCTAGCCTGGGCAACAAAGCGAGACTCTGTCTCAAAAAAAAAGAAAGAAAAAGAAAGCAGTCCCATTTATATAATAGCAAGAATATAAAATACATTGGAATAAATTTTAACCAAAGAAGTGAAAGATCTATATAAGGAAAACTATAAAACATTGATTAAAGAAATTGAAGAGGACACAAAAAAAATGGAAAGATATTTCACGCTCATGGACTGGAAGAATATTGTTAAAATGGTAATACTACCCAAAGCAATTTACAGATTCAATGAAATCCTTATCAAAATACCAATGACATTCTTCACAGAAACAGAAAATATAATCCTAAAATTTATATGGAACCACAAAAGACCGTGAATAGCCAAAGTAATCCCGAGCAAAAAAACAAAACAAAACAAAAAAAAAAAACACAAATAAACAAAAACAAAGCTGGAGGCACGATACTACATGACTTCAAAATATACTACCAAAGCTCTGGTAATCAAGTAAGCATGGTATTGGCATAACAACAGACTCATAGACCAATGGAATGAATAGAGGATCCAGATACACACTTATAGCCAACTCATTTTCAACAAAGGCACTAAGGGCATGCAATGGGGAAAGCACGGTCTACTCAATAACTGGTGCTGGCAAAACTGGATATGCATATGCAGAAGAATGAAATTAGACTCTGTATCTCACCATATACAAAAACCAAATCAAAATAGATTAAAGACTTTAAGACCTGAAACTATGAAACTACTAGAAGAAAACACTGGGGACACCTTCCAGGACACTGTCTAGTCAAAGATTTTTTTTGTGGAAGATCTCAAAAAGCATGGGCAACAAAAGCAAAATAGACAAATGGGATTACATCAAGCTAAAGGGCTTCTGCAGCAATGGAAACAACAAAGTGAAGGGACAACCCACAGAATGAGAGTAAATATTTGCAAATCATCCATCTGACAAGGGATTAATAACCAAAATATATAAGGAGCTCAAACAACTCAATAGCCAAACACCAAATAATCCAAATTTTAAAAATGGGCAAAATGAATAGACATTTCTCAAAAGAAGACATAAATGGCCAACAGATATATGAAAATATGCTCAACATCACTAATTATCAGAGAAATTGAAATCAAAACCACAGTGAGATACCACTTCACACCAGTTAAAGTTGTTTTTATCAAAAAGAGAATAGCAGATGCTGATGAGTATGGAGAAAGGGGAATCCTCGTACACTGTTGGTGAGGATGCACTCATTGTGGAAAACACTACGGAAGTTCCTCCAAAAAAACTAAAATTAGAAGTACCATATGATCCAACAATTCCACTACTAGGTATATATCCAAAAGAAAGGAAATCAGTGTATCAAAGTGATATCTACACTCCCATGTTTATTGTAGCACTGTTCACCATAGCCAAAATATGGAATCAACCAAGGTACCCATTAATGGATGAATGGATAAACAAAATGTAGTATATACACACAACAAAAAAAGAATAAAATCCTGTTATTTGCAGCAACATGGATGGAACTGGAGGTCATTACATTAAGTGAAATAAGCTAAGCACAAATATCTATTATACATTTTAAAATAGAAGAGAATAATTTGAATGTTCCTAGAATAAAGATAAATACTTAAGGTGATGAATATCCTAATTTCCCTAATTTGATCTTTACACATTATATGAATGTATCAAATTATCACATGTACCCCCAAAATATGTACATATCAATAACAAATAAATTACTTAAAAAGAGATAGCTATAGACTAAATAAGTGCCAAACCAGTGATCATAATCATGTGTTTTAGGAGTTCAGAGCAAAGAAATAAAAATGTAGGCAAGGATGATGAGGGAAGACTTCCCCCAAAAGGCAGAGCATTTCAATTAGGGTTGAACAGTAGAAGTTAAAATGTAGAAGTCAGAAAACTGGAGTGTAGTCAGAAGAGAGAAGATATGAATAGCAGGGAAGAGTGGGAGACAGGGTCCAGGGTAGGGAGTGGGCTGTACAGCAGAGCACAGAAAGTTGTCAGAGGTGGACTGAATGGATAAAAGAGGAAAGCAATGAAGTAGTTCCACTCCTGGACTTTTTTTAAAAAGTAGTACCTCAACCAACAAAAACCAACATTATCAAAAACATGAAACAACCAACAGCCATAAAATTAATAAAGACTGACACGCATTCTAGGGCTTCATTAGATGATCAAGAGGCCAGAACAAATCCCATCTCTACCTTTAGTTATAAACAGATGAACTTAACTAGTCAGTACTTTGTTTTAGCAACATAACTCCACTTGTAATTCCACACACACACACACACACATCATGCTATTCTTGCCTCTTTGCCTTTACTCAGCATGTGCCCTTTCCTAGAAAGCCTTTTCTTTGCCTGACAAAAATTCAGACATCTCTTTCAAAAACTCCTACTCCTCAGCACCAGACCGGGAAGTGCCCTGTGCTTTCCTCCCCCACTGCACCCACCCACTGTACTGAAACTGTTCTCCATCCTCACTCCCTCCACAGACACTACTCTGGCTTACCTTGATGGCCCTTGGGTTCAGCTTTTGTGGGCCCTAATAAATCCTAAAAGGCCACTGCATGCTTCCCTTGACCACAGAGACAGTTGGCTTCCACATGTGACCCTTCCTGACCATGTTTCCAGAATGTGACATTATGGCATTTTTTCTCAACTGAAATTCAAGACTTGTTCTTTTTTGTTGTTGGTGGTGAGGTTACCACCAGGCTTTTTAAATAATTCTATGCACGGGGGCCTTGATGCATGTCACGATGATACATTCTGCCTGCAATTTGCTTTGCCCCAAGGCCTGTGGCTGCAAGAGGGATCCCTTGCTTGGGTACAACATATAGGCTGTGATCAGATCAGCTGAGGAGTGCATCATCTCACAACCTGTGTTATCAGAGGCCACTGGGTGCTCTGCTCAAATATCACCTCCTCAGAGTTTTCCTGACCATTCAATAGAAAATAAAAATAACTTCTTACTCTCATCCCCTTTTGTTGCTTTATGTTCTTCATAGCATTTCATTGTCTGAATCCCAACTGTGATTCCCACACCTTTTACATAATGTTTTATTCACATAAGAATTATTTTTATAAAGTTTTTAATGTATTTCAGATGAAAAGTCAACTTTTCCTTGGTTATTTCCTTCTTTTCTTCTTTATTCTAAAGGAGGATTCTCTGGATCACATTTTGGACATGGAAAAAGTTTGCAAAACTCACGAAAGAGGAAAGAGTAAAAGAAGAACGACGAGAGCAGCTCCGTAGGAAGGTAGCTGAGATTCTGCCAGACTTCCAGGTGCAGGCACCCAGAATTATCTATTAGTTATATGTCAGCAATCAGATGATCGGCCCTGAGTAAAATAAGTCTTTGGTGTGCCAGTGAACGCAGACTAGTGCAGTGCTAGGATGGGAATCTATTGGTCCATAATTTGCTTATGTTTCTCTACCCACATACATACCTACATATACCCGGTTTATTTTCCATGAGATAGTTCTTGTATCAAAGGAATTATTTTGGGAATTTTTATTTCCTTCTTTGATTTTTTTCTGGATTGCTGGTCATTCACTACAGCATTTATCACAGTGGGATCATCCAAAGGAACAGTCTAGAGCTCCACTGTTCAACTGTATCCTATATATTTTTAGCATAGTAATCTTTAAAAAGGACAAGTGTTTGCCTGCCTGAGCCTGGGAAGAAAAATGTGTCCTCATAGCTTAACATGACTTGTTGATAAATGTAACTTTAATAGAAATAAAAAGTAGTGAATACTTACAGAAGGAAGCATGAGTGATCAGTCTCTGGTGCCTTAGCCTCAGTGACAGGTATCTACCAGACCCTGTCCTTTTTGACCAAAAGGTATTCCACACAGAGGGAAGCAGCTTATTCTGGTTTCAGAGAAACTGGGGCACCAAAGATACTTCTCTTCTGTGCACCCCAGTCAGCATGAAGGAAATTCCAAACTCTATAAAAGACAGCCCAGCAAGTCATTAAAACATCTGTTCCCACACTCCCAACTGCAACTGTCAATGCACTCAATTTGTCTCCTAGTCTTCTGCTCAGTTCCATCTAGATATTGAGATACCTATCTTGAATTCAAAGAATGTTTTAATCTTTAAGGTGCTATAAAGACTGATGAAATGCTCTTCTGCGAATTATCTTTAAGAATTACCTGCTAGAAAAAAAATTTTCATTACAAAATACATGTTTATTATAACAAATTCAAGTAGTCTATAAATGCACACAGTAAAATGAGAAAGTTCTTTGTAGCCCTGAGGTAACTACTATTATTTGGTATGTTGAAAATTTGAGTTGGCAAAATAAAATTCTATGTTTTTTTTCAAGTGAATATTCCTGTTATTGTCTTCTATTAATACTTACAAGAAGGGAAATCTAGCTACTCTAACTGCAGAATGATTTATATCCTTTTTTCATGGAAGATGTGTGGTGACTTACTAAGATAAGACAAAATATCCAAATTCAACTTTATTTCTTCTATAATATCTCTTTCCCACACATTTTCCTTTACCATGATTATACAGTTGTCATCTAAAAATTCAAGTGTTTTTAAGACTAATGGCCACTAAAGAAAATATAAAAGTAATTTCCCTTAATCTATTTCCATCTAAATCACTATCTGTTTATACTTACTTAACTACATTACAGTTACAGAATATTGGCAGATATTAGCATCCACAAATGAGCCAAATGCCAATATGATTTCAATGCCAGGCATGTAGGTAGTGAAGGGTGAATTTCTTAAGTAAATACATGCCAGGGGCCTAAATAAAACCATAAAACTTAAGTTTTCTTTCTTAAGCTTTCTATTATTTTTGCCTCTCATCAAGTATCAACTAGAAATTGAGTCTTTAGCAGCCCATATTCTGAACCTCCAAAAGGGATACAAGGAAAATAATTTTCATGTTGTTTATTTTTTGTTTGTTTGTTTGTTTTGAGACAGAGTCTCACTTTGTTGCCCAGGCTAGAGTGCCGTGCTGTCAGCCTAGCTCACAGCAACCTCAAACTCCTGGGCTCAAGTGATCCTCCTGCCTCAGCCTCCCGAGTAGGTGGGACTACAGACATGTGCCACCATGCCTGGCTAATATTTTCTGTATATTTTTAGTTGTCCTGCTAATTTCTTTCTATTTTTAGTAGAGACGGGGGTCTCTTGCTCTGGCTAGTTTCGGACTCCTGACCTTGAGCAATCCGCCTGCCTCAGCTTCCCAGAGTGCTAGGATTTACAGGCATGAGCCACCGTGCCCGGCCTTCATGTTGTTTCTTGCTGGACCATCATGCAGATGTGACTTAAAATGTTACTGCTAACATAATGCCTGAATAAGCAGTATATCTGACCTGCAAAACTGGAAAAATAACCACCAGGAAAATGACATTTTAGGGCTAGGGTCAGGTCCACAGGATGGGATATCCAGGCAGCCAAAGAGGCAGCACAGATCTAATGCACGGTTTTCTTAAAGGAAAAAGAATTCAGAAGACACACAAAGAAACACTAGCAATTTTCTTTAAAGAAAGCACTTTATTTTCCATTTAAACAACTTGGTCACAGGACATTATCTTACATAAATGGCAGTAATTTGTAAAATCTCCATTTAAAAGGCCTTGTGTCTGAGTCTGAGGCGGTAAGAGGATAGGAATACAAGTATAAAAACAGTGCAAAATGTTTAGCCCACAGCCTCCAGGGTTGGCTTTGGAAGTCCACTTTAATGCTGTTGGCTGGGCCAGTTACATTAAATATTAAATAAATATTCCTGGGTTTCCTTTAGTCTAACATCAGACCCAGAAATGTAATCAAATGAAAAGGCTCAAGAGCCCTAACAACTCGAACCATCAAATTGCCCAGACCAAAGGATCACCACAGGTTGAGCTTGTGAGCTCTAAGACATGGTATTTTGTCAGTGGCTCCATCTGAAGAAATACAGAATTTTAGCTGCATCAATAACTAGAATAGACTAGCTCTGGTTTTAAAGCTTTGCCTTTTAAGTACGAATTTCTGGAGGTGAAAGGTGCCATCAGGAGGGCTTGAGTTCCAGTAAGTCACAAGCCCAACTCAGTCACAGCCACAGCCCCCAAGAAATTTGTTTCCACTAACCATTCAGTCAGTCTTTTGCCTGCTGCTGCTAATACAGTGAAACACTCAGTGCCAGCTGAAGTGTGGACACTAGTCCATTAGCAACAGGATTACACTTAGCTGATTCTGCAAAAGTTTATATTAATCACAGAAAACATCTACAGGAACAGATGAATTGTATCCAGTAGTAAGTTTAGCATGGCTTTCATTCTCCCTGTATGACCTTTGCAGTGTTTAAGATAAAATGGCACACATGTCAAGGTGCTGCTGAGATAACCAGATTCCAAACAGGTACCTCGAGCAAGTGTCTCTCATCATCTGTTGCTTGTTTAAAAAAATTCTCCTTTTCAAAATGCCAGGTACCAAAACATGGCTAAAATGAAGTTAAGTCGTATAAACCTACTTCCCTCGTTGAAAGAGACCCTTAAACCTCACAAAACATTAATTTTTAAACATCCTGGTTAAAACTGTGCTCCTAGATGTCATTTTTTTTTGCTTATATTAGTTGAGCTTTATAATAAAAAGTTAATGTCCTATTAAAAGGAAATATAGTCTGTTAAGCAGATGGTCAATATTATGTAGAATCTTATTGGCATTGTGTTTTCTGGCAGTGGAAGAGTCTGGTATAGAAAATTTTCTCTTGCTAAAAATATTAGAAGTACCAAGAACTATTGCATAAGAGAAGTTCGTAAGCAATCTTTCTGCTTAGGCAGATAGTACAGTGGAAAACAACAATTACTCCATTCACCAAGGAAAACGCTACTTGGATAACAAAGATTTACAATATCCTAAAAACAAACGTGTCGCTGAAGTAAAACAAACAGCACATTGTCCCCAAAACACACTTAAGGCTTTACTTGAGCAGCATCAGAGTAACCTACCGAAGAGGTGTTGTTAATGGTCGGTTCATTTCAAGAGGGCCCAGCTAGAACCACAAAAGTACTCTGTGAGCATCATAAGAAACATTTTAAATAGTGAAGGATTTTCTCCTTTCATATAACCCTGATCCTTACCTATTTCTCCCACGAACCTTTCAAATGAGCCCAATTGTCTCCCCCAGGAATAGTTCACAGTGTGTGATAATAATGTAAGTGGTGAGAATATAGTAGGTAATTTATTAAGCTCCACATCCAATATGTTTATTAACAGAGCATGAGGATGTAGGGTGAGAGAAGGGGACCTGCTTGTTGGAATCACATTTGGGGGACGACTTGCTCCTCTGGCCAAGATTGCTCGTTTACAGGTTTGTGGGGCAGTTGTCCACTGCACCTCACCAAATGTTTTTCTGGGATTGAGTCACTTGCAAAGGCCTTGTCCTTTCAAAGACATTAAATTCTTCTGCCCTCTGGAGACAACCAAGGCCTACAATAAAATCACTCAAATAGTTCCAGGTCATAAAGAGGCTCAAGAGTCTAAGAGTATAAAGCAAGGATGTCCCAGAGCCTACAGAAACACTGCTCTTAGCTGGCCCCTCATTTGCTGCTCTTTTTGGTACAAATTCAAATGGCTTTTACCACGTAAAATCACTGATCTTTTGACAAGTTTGAACTTTTTTCTGTAAACTGCCCATCATAAGTCACAAGGAACTTAAAACAAGCATCTTAATTACAATAAACCAGAATAATATATAAGGAGTCCCTACCCAAATGAGGAAAATTGAGTTACCTCAACTCTATTAGGAGAGAGTTTTTATAAAGATGGTGATAATTCCTAATTCTTCCAAATGACTCTGGTCTTTTTGAATTACTCATCTGCATCACATCACATTTTGATTGTTGTTAAAGATTTGGCTGGAAACTAAAATACTAAATGTTTCTATGAATTTTTATTATGATATCAATTGCTAGACAATCTCAGTTGGCTGTGCAGCCAGCATTCAAGAGACATGACGACAACTACTGATTTCTGCCCACATGTGCTGTCCTTGACATTATTACTATCTCTCTTACCTAAAACCTGTACAGAAGGAAATTAGTTATTTCAGATCCAACTTTCATTCTAAATGAATATTCCATTCTGGACCAGAGAGAGGCCATCACTGTAGAAACCACAGTGTCTCCTAACATCCCCAGGCTAGCTGATTGGCTCATCCCAGTGGAATACAAGGCCTATCATTTGTTAAACAATCCATCTCTGGAGAGAGCAACAACAAGCCTGAATAAAAACTCGGTGACCATCTTAGGGACAGCCCCAATTAATTAATGGCAAGACTAGGGATGGTGCTAGCTGCAGAGGGTAGAATTGCAGGAAGCAGCAATATTTCCTCTTAACATCTATAAATCTCTTGCTAAAGCAGAATGCACAGAGTGACTGAAAAAGCTGGCATTATTTTCCCTATATTAAGCTATAGGCCAAGGCAAATTTAAGGATGAGGACTCATGAATTACCTTTGGGACTGCAAGACAGTACATGTATAAGACCCAACATTTCAAGAGGGCATTTTCCCCATGTGAAATTCTCTCATCTTAATTCTGTAGCAGAATGAATGACCCATTCTCTATAAATATCTAATCTTTTATACACCTTCAGTTTTGAGATATGATTAAAAGAACAACTTGGTATTTCAGGAAGAACTAGGAAAGAATAGTAATCCATTAATTAGTGGAAATTTCATATACCCTGTTTTTTCTCTCCTAGTGAGATACTTTTATTTACGGAAGGGTGAATGAGAAGTAATGTGCAAGTTAAGTGGGAAGATGTCAATCAACTCCTCACAGAAAGTTCATGCCAGAATAAAGCGAATGCCAGAAGACTGATTTTTGTGATTGAGTGCTGTTAAGTGGCAGCATTTGAAATACAGGAACAAAAAATGCAAGCCCTTAATACTAATCAACCTCCCTACCCAGAAAAGAGAGTAAAGTATTCCCATGAGAGTGTCTGTTCTCCCCTTCTAGCCACCGTCACAAGTGTGCTAGCACCTTACCAGGTAAAACATGGAAAGGAGGAAAAAACATTAATTCCTAGTGGAGTTATTTATAGGAAATCCAAACAGACAAATACAAAAATAAATATAAGAACTCATCACCTAAACTCATGACCACTGTACATTACACTAGCAATAATTATCTTTATAATTGTTATCAACTGTCCTTTCAAGATCAGATGACTAGCATGAATTCATTTGGCCATCTTCTCCTCTGAGTAGTTAATATCTAATACTTAAGGAGAAATTGAAATTCTCTTAATTGTACAATACAGTATATGCTAAAAACTGATTACCCTAGTAATATTGCCTTCAGTATTCTGACCTACATTTTTCTTCA